AAATACTTCATTCCAAATTGATCAGGATGGGTTTCATGGAGAGTCTTCGTCATCGCGTTTCTCAGGATATAACAAGTCTGCCATCCATGTACAATAATCCGTCGGATTCGTGTAAGTCTCTGGCAAAGTGTTTGAAATAAGGGGAGTTCGCATTAATCGTCTCAACTTTATTATGAAGTGCTACTACAATAGGGCTCAACATAGGTCGTCTTCAGTTAGCAGAGCTACAAGCTTGGCGTTAAAAAGAGTATTTAAATCCAAGGGACGATCGGGCAACTTCAAATTTTCGCGGTATTTATTTACAAGATTCTGGATTCTGATGACCTTTCAATAGAGGGAAATCTAAAGATATTGAAATAATGGAGGTAGACGGATTAATTAAGATTTTCATTTTTTCCGTTTTAACAGTATCTACAATTTTTTTATCTACAGAAGAATTAATTAATCTACAATTAATAATAAAGAAATAAAAAAATGCGGGGTTAGAAATGGAAATAATTCAGGAATTTGTGTTGGAATAATTCGTAGGAATGCAATTTGATGTACAAAATTCGGTTCTAAAGTGATTAGATGAACAAATTGGAAAAGTCGAGTTAATAAGTTTTAGTACTGATGCTATAAGGTAATTACAAAATTTTGCTTAACCGGAATTTTCCAAATTTGAACCAATGGTTGATTTGTTAATTTTATTAATATTCGCTACTACAAGTTTTTCGTCATAATGTGATTTGGTAAAACTTTTCCGGATGGAACTCTTGAAATTAAGTCAGAAAAGCCCATATATTTTCCGGCGAGGTGTTTGATTGTAAAGTTAAAAGGTAGTAGTCTATCCACCCATCTTGTTTTCTGCTATGATATGTTTTATTAGCGTGATTTGTTGACAGGGCTGATAGCAATGCTTTGTGATCTGTGATTACTTCGAAATCTGATCCATAAAGGTAATTTTTGTAGTGTTCGACCGCCCAGACGACTCCTAGCAGTTCGAGTTCGTTAGTGGAATACTTTGACTCGTGAGGATTTTAAAAACCGTGAAGCAAAAGAAATCGTTCTCCAGTCACTCCTGTGGAGTTGTTCAAGGGAGGCCCCCAACCCCTTGTGTGAAGCGTCTGTTTTGACTCTAATTTTACGTTTTACGTAAAAATGAGTATTTTCCGCGAGGTTGTTGATTTCTTGTTTGATTTTTTCAAATGCTTTTGTATGGTCTGATTTCCACTGGAACATCGATTTCTGATTGTCTTCGATTACAGAGGTCTGAGTGGGCTTCCTAAGGAATTAAAATTTGGGACGAAGTTAATGTACTGATTTATAGATCCGAAAAATGATCTCAATTCTTTCAAATTTTTTGGAATAGGTAGATCTTTTATCGCTTTTGTGTTGTCGAATAAAGGTGACATTCCTGTGTTTGAGATTTTAAATCTCAATCATTCAATTTATTTTTGAAAGAACTTACACTTAGACCATTTAACTGCGAAATTATATTCGTCCAATGTCGATATAATTTTTAACACAATGTTTTTGTGTTCTAAGAAAGTTCCTTTGGATGCGATTAAAATATCATCCAAGTAGCAATTGGTAAAAGGGATATTCCCTAACGTTGAATCCATTACTCTTTGGAATTCATTAAGCGTATCGCCTAAACCGTAAAAGCCAGTTAAAAATTGATAAGTGCCAGTAATATCGCCGCCCACTATATTAAAATTACATTGGTTGCTGGTAAACTTGTCTAAAGCGAGTTGGCTGTATGCATTTTTTAAATATAAGTTTGTAAACCATACTTTTTCAACGCAATCATTTGCTATTTGTGCTGCTACATTGTCTACCAGTTCATGAATGTTCGGCATCTGGTATTTATTCTTGTATATCTGTTTGTTAATGAACTTTGAGTCTAGAGCAAAGTTGATTGATTTGTCATTTTTGCAAGTAATGACGATTGGGATAATAAAATGATCTTCGTCGCAGATTTCTAATTTTTTAGTATGTCCTTATTCTTTTAATCTGTTAAGCTCAGTTTTGACTGAGTCCAGTAGGTGGAGGGGAACTCGTCTTCCTTTTAGTTGGATAGGCTTTAATGGTTCGGGAAAATGTGTAGTTTTCATCTGGTTTTATATTTTTCCGATCCGAAGGAAAAAGTTTTTGAATGATTTAGAAATATTTTTGATTCATCTTTATTTATCTTTGGTTGAGATAAAATTTATGGACTTACGCACCTGGTTTGTCTGGAAGTGTGGAAAATATTTCTGTGAAACTTCTATCCCCACTTTGGGTAGATTGTCGTTTCCGAGGATGTTCCACTCGTGTCCCTCGGTCAAAAAAGGTGGTAGTCGTCGTGTGACCAACCGTTGGAGAAGATCGGAAGTATCACTTTCCCAGAAATGTTAAGGGCGTTGTCTGTAAATCCACAGTATAAATCCTTGGTTGCCTTGTCCACCGGATAGATTTTTAAATACGGATCTCGAAGCTTCAAGTCCTGTAGCACGTTCTTCTTGAGAAAACTAACCGGGCTAGCTGAGTCCACTAGTATATTTAAAATTACTTGATTTTCTTTCCCGAGGCCAATATTCAGTAGTTTTTTTAATTCCTTTCCGTCAACGTCGAAAATTGTAGTGAAATTAAATACAGAGTAGTCGTCGTTTTCACTTTGTCCCGATTCCGACTATGCAATTATGACGCCACAGAATTCTCTATTTACATGGTCGCTATTTACATCTGGGTGATCCGACGGATTAAAATCTGTTTTATCTACAATTTGGGTATTCACAATGTTTACAATTTTGCGTCGAGATTTACAAAGTTTTCTAAAATGGCCTTTATATTTACAGGATGTTCAAGTAGTATTCTTTGCAGGGCAAAACCTCCAAGTGTCCTTTCGAAAAGGTCCCGCCACATTTCATACAGGTGTTACTTCTTTCTAAATTCAGAGTTGGTTCTCTTTTTATAGTAAAATGGTTAAGTGGTCTTTGTGCAGTTTATCCGTTGGATTTAAATTTATTTGTGAGTTTCAAGTGATTTAAAATTCCCTTTTCGTCGATGAGTGCTACGTTCAGTGATTCTTGTGGAGGTAGAGTTTCGGTTAAGAGTTTCTGTTAGAAGTCGTAGTTTTCATGTTGTTATTGAAAATATCCCTGATCCATTCTTCTTCTCCTGCGGCTATGTCACACTTTTTGGCCATTTCAGCTAGGGCTCCCCAAAAATGTTCGAGAGACTCTCTGTCGCGTTGCTTACGATTTAACAAATTGTGACGTTCAAATGTGACATTTGTCTTTCTGACGAAAGCGGTTGCTAGGAATTCCCAAACTTCTTTAAATAAAATTTGAAGTATTTTTACCTTTGTAAATTATTGTCCTAGTGCGAGATACAAGATTGATTGTAATTTTTCATCGGCTTCACCCATTCTCATTCCATTAAACTTCTTGGTTTCTGTTTTAATGGATGCCGCTTCCTCCTCTTGGTAACGTTTTTGTTCTTGTATATTCCTGTCGATTCTTTATTTTCTTTGGTTATCCAATTTGCCGTCCATCGGATTTCCAAAACTTGAGGCTGAGGATGATGTCTTTCCGAAGGATTTATCAAGTTTTCGATATCTATGTTTTCTTTAGCGATAATAGCTCAATGAAAGAGATCGCTCCAGTCCTCCCAGGGAATTGCAGGACCTACTGTATGGTTCTGCCAAAATGGAGGTATTCCTCTCACGTTAGATTCGTTATTTGATTGCGCCATGATAAAATGTTACTTTGTTGTAGCTAAATCTGCTTTATACAATTAAAAGTATAAAAGAATAAAAGTGAATTAGTCTAAAGTTAAAACGTTAAAAAGTGGGAGAGCATTTTCTCCGCCGGAGAGAATGTCAAAGTGAAGGTCATAAGTAAGTGACCTGTTAGCAAGTTACGTAATAGTTGCAGTAAATGCAAATATAAAGTGAGAATCACATCATTATATTCCAGCTTTCTTAACTCATGTTTCAAACTGAATACTGTTTCAAAAGTTTTTTAGAACTAATACTGTTTTGCGGTTCCTTTCAGTCTCTACAATAAGTTAATTTGTTTTGTTCAGTTTATTATTATTATTGTTTTTGGAACAAATGGTATGTAAAGTTGAGTTAAAATAGTTATTGCGTTTCATGAGCATCAATCTCCTTTGACTTTGAAACTTGTAATGAAAACTTAGAAATGGGATTTTTCTTTCTTGTAAGTTTTTTATCTGCAGTACAATTCTCTGTTTCTTCAATGTCGAGGGCGGAGTTTCTTAATTTACAAGATCTGGTTTTTTCAGGGTAGTTTTCGATATCTCCGCAAAATATAAGCTCTGTTTTTTGTTCAACCATCAACTGTTTTATGCATTCAGTAGTAGTATCATTTTCGATGGGAGCGCAAGGTCCTGTATAAACGCTGCCCACTAGGATCATTGCCCACTGGACTTTTTTTGCTGTTAATAATTCAATCCCAATCTTCCTAATCTAATCTAGAGTCGAACTAAATGAGCTAAACATACAAAAAAAAACATCTTTTTCTGTAAGTATAAGATTTGGGATGATGTTTTTAGAGCTAAAAGTCTGTTTTCGAGGGCCGCGAGCAGAAATAAGTAATACTGGCGTTAATTTCGCGCATAGCAATTTTTTAACAGGGAGCGTTTTTTTGATTGGTTTAATCACAGAAATATAAAAAAAACAAGTTTTTTCTTCAAACAAGGCTATATTTATAGCTGTGTAGATTCGATTTTAAAACCTGAAAAAGTTCGATAACCACCTTTTTTTCTAAGTGTATGGACAAATTAGGTCCCACCATAGGCCATGCATTTTTTGCGGTAGTTTAAGTTTTAATGTGAACCTATTTTCAATGTTTTTTTTTGTTAACCTATCATTTTTTCGAGGGCTTTCATTTGATTTTATCTTTCAATCAATTAAAAATTTGCTGAATTTATTATCTTGGTAAAAATTTTATCATCAAATAAGATATTTTCAATCATATGTTTAATTTCTAAAAAAACAATGCTGTTTAAATGTAATTCGTTAACAAAATGTTTCAAAATTTAATTTGTTAATAATAAGAATATTACGCAATATTTTGGCTATATTTCTTGAATTTTTATTTTACATCTGAGCTGTAGTATATCTACAAAATGCAATTTTTTCCACTACAGTTCCAACATAAAGTGTATTTCCATCAGCAGTAAAAGCTCCTGCGCTAGAACCACTAATCAGAGATCCATCGTCCATGAAAACAGTTTCAAAGCCCCATGCACTATTTCTATCATTTCTCTTGACTCTGATCACGTGAGATGGTGAGCGAAGTTTTTCGGTGTCTGCGAAGTAGATGAACAAATCATGAAGTCTAACATGACAGCCAATCAGAACTTCGTTTTCTGAAATGACATTAATGTTGTCCGGACTCGTCGGCAAGATCAAAGTATCAACTAGTTTCAAACTTCCGTCTTTTTTATTGATTTCAAATTCGTAAAAAGCGTCGGACATTGGGTCAGTGAAAAACAGTCTGTCACCAGAAGGGGATCTCGCTATTCCATTAGGTTCCACATACCCAGTTGAAACATCAGTAGCATTTCCATTATTCCAGAAGACTATTTTACAAAACGGAATGCCCAAGTAATGACCGGTTCTTCCGACAGCAGCGTTGTAGAACTTGTCATTTGATACGTAAAATGAGTGACGTGAAATGATCGTAACGTCATTAACGTTACCCTGGATTCCAAGGTCAGACACACTCACTGATTTGTAGTGTTTCAGCTTCAGACCATTCGAAAGAGTCCAATCGAACATCTCAACGTAATCTTGGTCACTCCGATGGTTGACGACAAAAACGAGCCACTCATTTTTCTTGACTTGCATCAGATCGATCCCGTGTGGAACAAATTCTTCCTTGAAGTTTAGAAGCTCCAGATTTTCGACTTTAGTGCCAGTTATTTTGATGAGCTTATCACCCTTGTAGAGATGCGGAGTTTTGAATTTGACCGCATTTAAACCTTGAATTGATAAAAAATTTAAATTGCTTAACAATTTAATTGAGGCTATAATATTTTTCAAGGAGTAAAAAACCGATCTTTCAAAACCAAGGGCTGATTTATAAATTTTTTATTAGGGCTGCAAAACTGATTTTCTGACCTCTCTCAAAGGCGCGTTGAAAACCGAATTTTTTCTGCTAGCAAGTTTTTGATAAAAACCCACAAATATCGTTTTTGAACATTTTTGGATAGTTTTTACAAAAAAAACCGCATTTTTTCGGCGCTCAAATTGAAATTTCAGACCAAATTGATTTGCCGACCTCTCCCAAAGCACTGTAGCCATTCTATTTTTCCGTTGGAAAATTTAGATGGTTTTCAAAAAATTGAGTTTTTTCCGGCCCCCACCTCAAAATTAGAATATATTTAGATAACAAGTGGGTCAAATTTGGTATGAAAATGGGGCCTCCTCCTCCCATCAATCCACCCGATATAGTTAGAAAAACTTGAGGGTTGTTGAACCAAAAATAGATGTGTTAGAATAGTACAAAGGTGGTTAAGTGGTTGAGTCCCTGTAAGAGGCGTCCACCCGCCCCCTTACCCCTCCCTCTATCAATCCGGCCCTGTTCAAAAGTCACTTACAAGAGAAAAAACTGCAGCAGCAAAACGAAACTATATTTTGAAGAATATCAAAAGTACTAAAAAGAAAGAACAGTGTATATTGACATTGTTTTAGAAAAAAAGTTACTGTTTCATATTAAAAAATTGAAATGGAAAACTAAATACCTCCTGTGGAAGCAATGACGGATCCTCCTGGTCCCAAAGTGAGGTCCTCTGACCCTTGGTAGTCGCCTTCAAGAATCTTGCACTCCCCTGGGTGAATTATCTCCACCTCTCGCAACACCCCGAACTTGTCCACGTAGCGCCACGCCCTCTCTGCTCCAAAGAGCACAAAAAAACTCACGAGTATGAACGCTATCGGATGTCTGTGAACAGAAAAAAAATAATTATGCTCATCTCAACTTTAAAGAAATTTGTTTCTGCGATTCGCTGAGGATCTATGAGAGGCTATACAGCCTGTCCAGTAGCGGGTTTAGGGGACGCCTTTTTCCAGGGATTCGACCCCCTGCCGACCCAAAGGGTCCCTCCCCCTTAGTACTATTTTGAGATTTCCATTTGTGACTGAAGGACCCTCAAGTTTTTCTGAATTACTGATTTAGCTAACTTACTTGCTCAGAATGGTTTCCATGTTATCAACTTAGATTTGGTAAAAGCTTTCTTGGTAGAATATCGATGAGTGTCAAGATATTAGATTAAGGGTTAGGACAGTTTATGATATATACAATTTGGTTTCAAATTTACCTTATTTTGCTCCGTATAACGCCCTCCGTTGACAAGATAGTGTGTTTACCATGGAGCGTTATTTGCTCAGGTGATTTGCGCAAACTTACATTATTTCATGCAATAAATTATATTGGTTAGAAAACTGAAAGTCTTTAACTCTTTTGCTTATCTGGAATACATGCATTCGAAATATAAGCAAAAAGTAGCGCGAGAAAAACTGAGAACCCCAAAAAAACTTGTTCTCTGTCGATTGCTTTTTCTTCCGACTTTCGATACGAAAGTAACGGAATATTTGTGCTCGGGGTGGGTTTTTTTTTCTTCAGACAAATTTCGACTTTTTAACCAGCCATTTTTGATGGAATTTTTTTATATCATTCGAAAGGTATTGTTGTCTTTAGCTCAAATCTGAAAAGATATATCACCTGTGATCATTTTTTGTAAAGTTACGGGGGTTTAAAGATTGCCATTTTGGCCAATTTGGGACAATTAACGCGCGATATATTTCGCGTTATTAACGCGTAAGCGGAGAGTTAATCCGTCTAAGAAATCGTTCCAAATTAGTTGAAAGAAGCTTATTTGCCATAATTGATGTGTTACAAGGAGCGAAATCTATCCTTTTGTACTTTACATGGCGTGTGGGGGATGATTTTCATAAAAAATTTCAAATTTTAGAAAAAAAAATTTCATTTTGTTTTATTTCTTTTTTTAAAATGTTATTACTGCTCCATAAACCCTAAAAGGCAGTCGGAACAATCAGGGCATTGCCCTGATACGAGCAGTTTGTTAGCGTTTGTATCCGAACTTGATAATATGACCAGTTAACGTCATTGAATTTGATTTTTAGAAATCTGCCTTTTTATGAAGTTCGAAACATTTTAGTAGAATCGACTCACTCGCCTGTTTTGTCTTGGCAGTTTTTACCCATTTTTTGTTTGAAGCATATAATAAGGTTTTCAATAGAGTTGTACACAAATGAATGACAAAGTTTGACAAAAAAAACACACACATAGCTATTTAATTTTGAAGGAATTGGTTGTATCCACAGACACTTCTATGTTTTATAGATAAAAATTTTCACAATGCTTTTCTTGAACTGTTGGAAAAGTAAAAAAAGTTCAAATATAGGGGCCATAAGCTCAGAACAAAATTGAGCACGACGACTGCGAAGCGATCTAAAACACAGAGAGGCACTAAAAATTGAACAAAAGGATAGAATTCGCTCCTTGTAACAAATTAATTACGGCAAATAAGCTTCTTTCAACCAATTTGGAACGACTTCTGAGACGGATTATTTCTCCGCTTACGCGTTAATAGCGCGACATATATCGCACGTTAATTGTCCAAAATTAGCCAAAATGGTAATTTTTAAACCCCCGTAACGTTACGAAAAATGGTCAAAGGTAAAATGTCTTTTCAAATTTGAGCTCAGGACAACAATACCTTTTGAATGATATTAAAAAATCCCGTCAAAAATGGCTAGTTAAAAAGTCGAAATTTGTCTGATAAAAAAAACCACCCGAGCACAAATATTCCGTTAGTTTCGTATCAAAAGTTGGAACAACAATCAAATTTCAACCGAGTGCAACACCCGAGTCGAAGCAATGGACTCGTGATTCGATTTTCAAAGTCGAGAAATTGCAGTTTTGGAGGTTAAAACTTTCAACTGAGGCTGAGAAGTGGTTTTGAGTAAAACACAAAGCCTGAACAAACTGAAGTCTGATCAAGAGTGTTGAAACATAAGTCAAATACAATTTTTTCTATTTTTTTTTCTATTTCTGTGTTTTCTATTTTTTTTTCTATTTTTTAATCTATCTTTAAATCTCTCTAAATGCTTTTAGCTAATAAAAATTTGGTAATCAGCTTTAACCTAATATCAATTCACTGTGTTTTGAAAGCAAACTTAAAAGGGGGGGGGGGGAGTTCGATACCCTGCCGTTCGATACCCGGCCCCCCTTTGTACTATTTTGAGATATCCATTTCTGGCTGACTGACGACTGACTCTAAAACGTTATTTTTTGGTCAAAATGATCCATTAAAATGCTTATAAACGCCTTCCTAACCCCCCCACCCCAACCCCCAAACCCCCCCCCCCCCTCGAAAAAATTCTAGATCCCCTCACCTCGAGAAAATCCTAGATCCGCCCCTGCCAATACGTATTCCACAAAGTCGAAAGATACCCAAAAATTGACTAATTTTGGGTTAGAAAACATAATTCGAAAAATAGTATGAGCAATAAAAAACCAAAAAATTACCCAAGTAGTGGAGCAACCGACCTGGGCAAACGTACTATGTTATTTTTCTGTCAAACATTTCTGAAACGCGAAATAGTGACAACATGCTCACACAAGCTTATTTCTGGCAACTACAATCAGGAATGATTCGAAGAAAGTAACGGAAAATATATGCTTGGAGTGATTTTTAAAAACATTCCAGCTCGACCTCGGCGTTTGAAATAGTTTTCATCGATTTTTTCTATATTTGTTAAAAAAACTGATTCCCTGCGTTTCTATTTGAGAATTTCTTTTGTTTGCTTTCTTTTGTAAAATTTTTGAGGGTTTATAAATGCTATTTTTATCACTTATTTTTTTGCAAGATTCATTAATGCTCCTAACTGCACATACTCACTGCACATACCAAATAAACTGCGGAAAGTGGATAAGTAAGCCACAAACATTTCGCATGCAAACAAAACAAGACTCCTCGTATCAGGGCGCAGAATGCTCCGACTGCCTTTTAAGGTCTACAGAGCAGTAATAACATGTTTTAAAAAATGTTATGAAAAAAAAAGAAAAAAAAAGAATTATTTAAAAATTGAGATTTTTTGTAAAAATCATCTCCCACACCATCTAACAATATCTCTCAGATGGTACAGAAAATTTCCGTCAAAAACGCTTAGTTAAAAGTCGAAAAATGACTGAAAAAAAATCACAACAAGCATAAGTATTCCTCACTTTCTTCGAAAGTCGGAGCAAAAAAAGCTCAACCCCATTTTGTATACTAAACACTATTCAAGACCAATTGAAAGGCAGTTTGAAAAATCAGAGTTTTCAAAGAAAGAAAGAAACAAAGAAAAAAAGAAAGAAAGAAAGAAAGAAAGAAAGAAAGAGAGAAAGAGAGAAAGAGAAACAGTAAAAAGAGAAATTTTGCCGTTAACGTAGCTATTACTACTTCTCATTATCTAATCTAACTTAGCCAATTTTTACGAAAAAAAAATCGGGGAATTTAGGCCAAAGCATGAAAAAAAAAGCTTTTCGCTGTAATGGAAAAAGTTCTTCTTTTTAAAATGTTTTACTATTTAGGTGGTCGGAAGTTACCGTCGTATCTGCACATCAACCGGTTCTATTTATAAAATTGGTCAAGTTGTAGTCGATTGTTTACAAAGCCGGCGCAATGTTTTTCAATGTTTTTTCCAGCGTATAAAACATAACGATTTCAGGTCGACATCTGACAAACCGATCTGGAATGGTAATTTCTAAGAATTTTAGCTAAATCAAATCTCAGCTATTTTAGCTCCATCTTATTAAAAACAGCATCTTATATTTGAGGTTCTCAAACAAAAACAGCTCATAAAAAGTCTTATCAATGAATGAATTAAGGGGTATTATGAAAACGCATTAACATGAAAAATAATAAATAAAAGTATAAATGCAATAATTTTGAAACTACTCAAACACACTTTCAGTCAAATGTTAAGGCAGGGTAACATGTGCCTGAATTTTAGTTTTTTTAAAAAATCAAGTCTATGATAATTATAATTACTTATTAAATTAGTTTTTTTTTTTACAAAAACCGTTAAATAAACAACGACATAGTTTTTCAAAAAAAGTAACCATTATTAAGCATTTACTTGCCCTAATTGTGCATTAATACAAATAGCAACAAATTAGCTTTTAATATGGGGTCCATATGCTTGCGATTTTTTAAACGCAGATTAATTCGTTTTGTATAGAAACTAAGAACTATTGACCGCACATAAAATAGCAAAGTAGCCTAGTGTATCAGTCTCTGACTACAACATAAGCAACAATAGAAGAATAATTGCTTTCTTTTTATTTCAAATTTTCAGCATTGCAATTTAAAACTCAAGCAAATCATGAAAATTATTTAATTTTTTCTACCAAATGGTCTAGAAAAGCTGAAACAAGATTTTTTCCTATAGCTTTTCAGCAATTTTTTCTCGACAAACTTTAACAGTTTAACGTGTAATTTTCAATGAATTTATTATTCTTCCGCCAAATTTTGAAAACTAACAATTAAAACGCAATATATCACAATCTGAACAACTAAGTGGCAAACTAGTTAAACAACCGTTTTCAGAAGAAACAAGAATGGCCAATTTTTGTTCAAGTAGGACATAATATTTTGATCATAGTCCTAGAAAACACACAAACACTTTCCTTCATTTTAGTGTCGTTTTTTTGCATGGTGTGATAAAAGAATCTGAACAAAAAACTTCAACTTAGGCATATTCGACAAACATAGTAAAACAGGAAAAGTAAAAAGCAGTTTTTGAAGAAAAAGACAAGAAAATTAAACAAACAATTATAATTTTTTTAAACAATCAATTTTTTTCTATTCTTTTTTGTAGGAAATTTTTGTGCTTTCTAAGTTTTTGATTCTCAAAGTGGCGTTGATAAAATTCAACAAGACTGCTCGTATCAGGGCAAAGCCCTGAAGGTTCCGTCTGCCTTTTAAGGTTTATGGAGCAGCAATAACATTAAAAAATTCAATGAAATAATACAAAATGAAAAAAAAATTTTTTTTATAAAATTCATCCCCCACACGCTATATAAAGTACAAAAGGATAGATTTCGCTACTTGTAACAAACCAATTATGGCGCGTCAATTGTCTCAAATTGGGAAAAATGGCAATTTTTATACCCCCATAACTTAACAAAAAATGACCACAGGTGAAATATCTTTCTAAACTTAAGCTCAGTACAACAATACTTTTTGAATAATATAAAAAAATCCCGTCAAAAATGGCTTTTTAAACAGTCGAATAGTCTGCA